TCTGGGCGCGGAACTGAGGGTTGGCTACCCGCGCAGCTGGGCGGCGAGCACACCGTGCTGCAAAACGCGCATTCTGAGTTGCTTGTCTCGAGAACATGGTTAGGTATGAAGGCGATTCGAGAAAGAAGACTGATTGCAATTGATTAGGCTTGGGGTATCTTGCTAGAAAGCAGTGTGTGATTGAGGAAAGTCCGACAAGGGATCCAGAGCTTTAAGCAGCTGCAAGCAAACTGCATGCTCACCAAGGATGACGTCGCCATGATGATGCGCAGCGCTAAGCCCTATACAGCCTGCTAAGCCTGCAAGGGCCGTCAAAGCCGACGAACCCACCCAGCGTCATTGGCCTGTCATCGCACTATGAATTTAAGCTTAACCTCCCCACGATTTCCCATGTGAGCGTGAGCTAGGGAACAGGTTTCCACGTCAATCAAGAAAAAAAACCGAACCGGTCTGCAGCGTACATCAACATGAAAACCTACAAGATAGGTGACCTGGCGTCGATGTAGGCTCTAGGCCTGTTCAATTTTTTTTTCTGGTATGAGGTGTTTCTGTAAATGTCACAACTGCGCCATGTACTAACAATGACTGTCGTCCCGTCGCTGTCTGTGCCACTACGGAAGCAGTCCGGTACCGCCGCGATGCATGGACATGCCCGAGGTCATCCTTGGTCATGAGTTGGGCTTCTACCCCTCAAACACGGTCACAGACACACTTAGGACTCCTTCATCTGGTTCTGCCGTCGTTTTTGTCTGTTATGAATTATGCTCTACGAAAGAGAACGCAATACACATTCACGGTGAACCATGGCCTGTAGTGAACACAGACCAGGTCGTTAGTCTTTTCAAGACTTTGAGCTCCTTCGCTGAGGCCCCCGGCTCTATACATATCGAGGGGGGTTAACATCGAGCTACACCTACAAATATGCTTGCAAAGTGTATACATTTGCTTGACTTTTCAATCCACGCAACAATTGGTTTTCGGATGCACTCAACACGCGCATTACGGGCCTGGGCGAGAACCTTGGCTGCAGAGTCTCGAGCTTCAGAAGCGGGAAAAGGAAAGCTGCCAGGCCGTGAATATGCCGTATGACGTTATGCATAACGATACAGAGAAGAACGGATGAAGTGGAGCCTCTGAAAAACTGTGGGATTCTGATTCTGCAAAGACCGCAATGTGAAGTCACAGGTTTCGATGCCGCGGCGGTTGGTGGGGACACGGGATGACGTAAGTTCGGTTCATCCTGACGCGATAGTGTCGCGCGGCTTAGCCAGCCACCTTTTGCTTTCACACAACCACAGCATTGGTATTAGTTGCTCTAGCTCAGACAGCACCAGACAATAGAGAATTGCGACTCCTGCGGCCCACGAAGGACCGGACGCGTCCTACACACATCACGTTGACGCGTGTGACGCGTGACAACCTCGGCAAAAGCGACGATTGGCTCATCAAACCTCTGAAACTCGAGAACGCGACAATGACACCCTCAGAGACTGCGCCTCTACTCCGCCAAGAATCCACGACATCGTATGCCCCGGACGAAGAACATGATGACGTTACGGCGACGCGAAACACCTTTGCTCGCAATCTTGGTGCGCTGGATGGGTTCGCGCTGCTGATAAGCATCGTCATCGGCTCGGGAGTGTTTTCATCGCCTGGGCCTATCGATGCAAACGTTCCGTCGCCTGGTGCTGGACTCCTCGTATGGCTAGTTGGTGGAGTTTTAGCATGGACAGGTGCTTTGACAATGGCTGAACTGGGTACCGCATTCCCCGGAGAAGGCGGAATCCAGCCTTATCTCACCTACATCTATGGCGACGTCTTTGGATACATGGCTGCTTGGTCTTGGGTAGTGGCCACCATGCCTGCTACCCTTGCTATTCTCAGCATAGTATTTGTGGAGTCCATTTACTCCAGTTTGGGCGTGAACGAACCAGATCCGCCTCTCACCCACAAGCTATTGTCTCTACTTGTCTTAGTATTTGTAACGACGTTGAACTCCATTAGCACCAAGACAAGTACTCGGCTATCTAGTTTCTTTGTCGCCATAAAGCTGCTTACCATTTTTCTCCTTATCGTATCTGGTTTAGTGGTCGTCTTTGTCTTTGTCGGAAAGAGTAAGGACCTTGGAGGTCGCGATTGGCATCAAAACAATTGGTTCTCTCCAAGAGACACGATACTGCCCGATGGGTCGAAATTCGATTGGACGAAAGTGACTAGGTGGGAGTCACTCGGCTTTTACAGTACAGCGTTGTACGGAGCTTTGTGGGCGTATTCCGGCTGGGACAAGGCGAATTACGTCGCGGCAGAATTGCGTCAACCCAGTCGCCAACTACCACTTTCCATCAATACCGCTATACCCACAATCATACTATGCTATGTCGCCGCCAACGCTGTCTACTACGTTCTTCTCCCTTGGAAGGTAGTGTCGACAACAGATGCTGCTGCTGTGGTAAGTCCTTCAGAGTCATGTATAACGCCTTTATACTGATATGTTTTAGACAGCTGTTACCCACTTCCTTGGCAAGGGAGTAGCTTACTTCGCTACCGCGCTCATATGTCTCGTCATTGCAGGCTCCGCCCTTGGAAACTCCTTCGTGGCTGGTAGGATGACCGTCGCAGCTTCTAACAACAATTGGTTCCCGCAAGTTCTCGGCACAGTCGGTCGCGTCGGTACTCTGAAGGTGACTAAACGCGCCGATTCGAGCGAGGCAGCTGACACGACTATGGATGATGGAGAGTCACCAATGTGTGTAGGCCGTCATGTCCGGTTATCCTCTGCTAACAATTGCTAGCAACGCCCTCATACTCAACACTGTCCTCTCGGCAGTATACATTCTACTCGGCAACATGCGCATCTTACTGACTCTCAATGGCCTTGCCGAGTATGCTTTCTTCTTCCTCACGGTTCTCGGCGCAATTATATTACGATTCCGCGAGCCTGATCTACCCCGGCCTGTGAAACCGTTCATCCTGATTGCTATACTGTTCGCCATAATCAGCGGTTTCGTCGTAATCAGAGGCGCAGTATTCGCGCCCATTCAAGCAGCGATCCTTGTAGGAATATGGCTCTGCGGTCTTGTATTTTACTTCATCCGGCTATGGGTGCTAAAGAAGAAGGCTGGAAGATGAGGCGGAAGCAATCTGTTCGACATGTCCATACGCACGCATGCATGCTCATCATGATATTTCATTCCGTTCAAACTGCATCGTGTCTCTCGCAAACCGCGTATATGTTGTTGCACGAACGGCACCAGGGGTGGCCAGATCTTATCATATTTTCAAGTTGCTGCATACACACTATTGTATCTTAGCAAGTAGTTAGCATGTAAGACAATGTATACTCCTGCTCACACCTTTTTTGTGAAATGTGACATGAACTGTAGCCACCCCTAGCGACGGAGGTTAACAACTTGCGCCGTCATTCATCCGAACCCCGCCCGTTCCGAGGTAACTCGTTAGCGCCAGCCACATCTGTATCGGCTGCACATCGCAACACCCGCCCAATACGATGATGGCCTCTATCAAGCATCAGCGTACTCGTACGTCAATTCAGACGTTGTAGTCGCTGCCATGGTCGTACGTCCCTACTTTACCTCTGATAAGCAGGTGCTGCCGTTCGAAAAGGTGATCGCACTCGAACGCATTGACAACTGGACATTCCGCTCCATCGTCAAAGCCTACTCCCCGACTGGTGGTGAGAATGGGACGTACGGCGGCCACGTGTTTGCTCAAGCCGCATGGGCTGCTGCGCAGACTGTCGCTGAAGGATTTCTAATACATGTAAGCTGTAGCGACAGGTTTTGCTCCAACCATAACTAAACAAAACGCTAGAACATCACCGGGTGGTTCGTACTAGGTGGCAAGCCAGATGAACACTACACCTATCGCGTCCGAAAGATCCGAGACGGTTACAATTATTGCACACGAAACGTGACCGTAAGCCAGGTTGCAGCCGACGGAGATATGTTTACCTGTACCTGCTCCTTCAAACGGGAAGAAAGCTCGCCATTCGACATGCAAGAGTCTATTGACCTGAAAGAGGTGTATCGCGACGCACTAGAAGGCAAAGAAGATGAGCCAATGGAGCATGCGGCTGCTCCAAGCAACGATTCTGAGGTACGTTCTGCCTGCACGAAGTGGATGTGAGACACGTACTGACTTCGTACTCCTACCTCTGCAGCATTTCCGGGAAACTTACCTTCCAACTCATCCCGATCACTTTAACCCCATCGCCGGCTTGCACATCCGCAAGGCTGACATGTCGAAGTACAATCAAAGCCGTCATCCGCTCGATCGTAAACAGCTGACGTTTTACACGCTGCGCGGTGCACTTCCATTACCAACCGCACCATATCCACCGCCCTCGGAATCCGACCAGAAGCTCACATTGACACGAGAGGCTAACATGCACGCCTGTGCACACTTGTACGCATCGGATCGTAACTCGCTATTCATTGTGCCAAACCATCTCGACCGGCCTCGGGGTTACAAACGCATGGCGTCACTATCTCACAGCGTCATCTTCCATGTCGGTATCAAGGACCTCATCATGCCTAGTGAACCGCGGATCGACCATCCGAACGCCGACGCGACATTGTGGGAAGATGGTCCGCTGCCACTCTGTAATCTGGAGGGGCATACGGGCGGCGATAAGGACGGGCGAAAATGGTTTATGCAAGAAGCATGGCTTACCCGAGCTACGGGAGGCAGAGCGCTACATAATAGCCGTATGTGGGACTATGATAGTGGCGTGCATATTGCGACAACCTTCCAGGATGGATTGATTAGGTTCAAAGAGGATGCAAAAATCTGAGATGGGGTGTAAGCATACGCCCGAAATTCTTGGTGTCGTCCGAATCATCCGAGGACTGAGAGTACAGACTGCAAATACTTTATCACTTCGAGGAGCGGATAGCGCAGATGTTATTTTCATTTGAGAATAGGCTGCGCACCGTTATACGTAGAATAGCGAAGCAGATGCGGGCATTTATTGTGGATAGATGGGTAAGCATGTTTAGCGTCAAACGCAGTCATCGCCAACCTTGTATCTTCTCAATACAGCTAGGACAACGACTGAGCGTACTGCACCCGTCTCTAGCGTATCTTTCCTAAGGAAGGCGCAATAACTCAAGCTACAGTCGGCGACTTTATTCAGGCCCCAGGGTGCATGTGAAAGTCTCCGAGCTCCGAGGCCCTGCCCAAATGGAAGCCCAGACACTTCTTAAAGGACTCCAGCTAGGAAGCCTGGATCAATTCAGTCCAACAAAAAACATAGAGATTTCAAGGCGTGCTTCTCGTTACGTGTATTCTCGTCTACCCCCGCCCCAGCCACGATCCTTCGCTCCTAGTCTTTTCGTCCGCAGTAAGCCATATATAAGTACCTTGCTGACCTGGTATTTAATGCACAATATCGTTCAAGATACAATAGCGAAGATTCCATCATCATCATGAGCGAGCCCAACATGAACGCAAGCGAGATGTTCGAGATGCTTGCTTCGACCTACGAGGCTGCAACCGGTGGCTGCACCCGCGAAGTTGCCATGCACCTCATCGACATGTTGCCCGCAGTCGATTCGAACTGCTTCGTGCTGGATAATGCATGCGGAAATGGTATAGCTGCGCAGGAGCTTTTGTACAAATACCCAGACACTCCGCTCAAGGCAGCCTGTGTCGATAATGCGAAACCGATGGTCGATCTAGCACGCCGCGCCCTTCCAGCTACACCCTCCGCAGCAACTTTGTCCTTCGACGTGATGGATGGGGTCAGTCTGGCTTTCCCTGACGAGACGTTTACGCACTCCATCACCAACATGGGTATCATGTTCTTCTCTGACGGAGAAAAGGGTGCGGCTGAGATCTATCGCACTCTTAAGCCAGGAGGAACGGCTGTTGTCACCACCTGGAAGTCTACAGGCCACATGGCTGTTGTTCATGAAGCGCAGAAAGCCGTCAAACCAGACGACCCGCTATTCCGCTGGCCTGTTGCGGATGAGTGGTTCGAAGCTTCGCATATAAAGAAGATCATGGAGGGCGCAGGGTTCAAAGATGTTGAGATGTACGAGAAGACAGTATACTATGCATCGAAGACTGCGGAGGAGACTTGCGGCTATATGCTTGGTATGTGGAAGAATATGGGGCCAAAGTGGACTGATGAAGAGAACGAGGAGTTCGCGAAGCAGTTGAACCTTGCTGGAAAGAAGGCAGCGGTAAAGATCCAGAGGCCTTTGAATGGGCAGAAGGGTGCGGATGTGGTTGAGGTGGAGGGTTTTCCCTGTGTCGCGCTTGTCGCTGTTGCGAAGAAGTGAGATATACCAACATTTGAATTGCAATACAATAGCATATCCAACTGTATAAGCTATGCAGGCTCTACGAAGCCTTCTATGCAACGATTCGCGTGCTGATTCGGGTTCTTCCTGACGTGATAAGACACGAAGTGACTGCGCAAGCTCTGTAACAGCGCAACATATGCATGCACTATATGCAATTACGAACAAAGTCTTGATAGCACCCTAATTGATATCAGAGTATAAAAAGCAAAGCCTCTCTCTATCTAGGTAAGAGAGTGGGTGGGAGGGTGTCAGAGGATGGGCTTAGTGACCAACGCTCAGCGCCCAAAACACCAAAAAAAATGTATCCTGGAGTATCTGACAATGCCAGACGAATGCTGAACAGAGTGGGACTCGAACCCACGCCACTTTCGTGACCAGGACGTTATCTCTCGATAACTTAACGTTAAGAAACCTTAACCTGGCGCCATAACCAGCTCCTGGAAGGGTTGTTAGTATTTGTTATGCTGCAGAGGATGCTGGCTAAGACTTACGGCCATCTGTCCGTCACAGGATAACTGCTGTTGATGGGAAAATCGCCAGGTTGTAATTATATATGGTAGTTTGATGACATGGTGGGGTGGGCGATGAGGGGTCAGAAAATTCTGCATCTGGCGACGGCGGGGTCGGCGACATCGGTAACAACACTGAAAGGCAGACTACGATCCATCAATCATGCAAGTGTAGTGCTTAACGTGATTAGATTGCTAATGCACGCTGTGTCCAATTCACATTCCATGTCATTCGCTTCCAAAACTTGGAACTTGGAACTATGACCCACGTAACCAACCAACCCTACCTTTACAGCTTGCTCTTCAGACTAAACTGCTCCGGTCGCCACATTTCGTTTAGCAGACGCGTCGCATTAACCATCTCAGGCCTGCACTGATCCAGTGATGTTATGCCCAACAAACGCATACCTGTCTGCAGCTCATCCGCAAGAACTGTCGCACGTCAGTATACTACCCTGGTTAAAACACGACCAAACTTACTGTCAACGCATCTCTCGACGCCTTTCGACCCGTAAGCTCCAAGCGCGTATAGGAAGGGTCTTCCTACGCCTACGGCTGTGGCACCCAGACACAACGCTTTTAGCACGTCGTTTCCGTCTCTCAGACCGCCATCGAGGAAAACTTCCAGCTTCCCCAATACTTCTGGACAGTACGTTCGAATCTCTAGCAACGTCATAAGAGCACTCGGTGCGGTATGCAATTGCCTGCCACCATGGTTGCTTAGCAGAATTCCATCGCAACCATACTCCATCGCGAGTTTCGCATCGTCCGCACATTGCACGCCCTTCACCACGATCGGCCCTTCCCACTCCTTGCGAATCCACTCGAGATCCTCCCAGGTCGTATGTGGGCTAAGTTGGCCCTGAACTGGCCGTCCCCCCATCGCGGGTGCGAAAGCGTTGTCGCCGCCGGTCTCCCATTCCGCTGTACTTTCTTCTGCGAGCCCGACTGCTAGCGCCTCCTCAGCCTGGAGATAGCGATCCGCTGTTCGCTTGCCAAGAACGGGCGTGTCGACCGTTATCCAGAGTCCATTATAACCGCAGCGCTTGACGATGCGCATAAGTTCGATGGCCTTATTGCGGTCGACAGGCATGTAGTATTGGTAAAACAGTTGCGTTGTGCTGTTGTTACCAAGCCTCTGCTGCTCCTCTTTGTAGCTCTGCATGATCTGCTCGCTGCTCTTCGAACTTGCGGTACTGACGACCTTGTGAATGCCCTTGCGCACTGCGCCTCGGATCATCTCTGGCTCGGCAGCTTCGTGGATGGCGCCCATTGTTCCCATAGGCGAGATGTAGAATGGGTATGGCGAGCTGTGTCCGAAGATCTTGCGGCGCGTGTCTACATCGCCGACGTTGCGCATCACACGCGGACGGAAGTTGATGCGCCCCCAGTCATCTATGTTGCCTCTGATCGACGCGCCAGTGTTTGCAGAACCGGACGCATAGACATACGACTTGTGAGGCATGACAGCCTTTGCCGCTGCCTCAAAGTCGGTCGTGGAGACGCAAAGGCTCACATGTGGGATTTCCTTGGAGTTTGGATCGGTGTCAGACGGCTTCGTCGACTCTTCGCTCTTGATCTGGCGTAGCTGACCAAACGTGTTGGGGTCGACGGGACCGAGGAAGGCATCTTTAGGCAGATAATCCTCCAGATAACTCAACGGGTGGTATTTCTTGAACTCTTCTGTCGCATCCTGTCTAACATCAGCTCTTGATCTTTGAGCCGCGCCATTGTACTCACCGCCCCGGCATTCTTCAAGATGATCGGTGCGCCACCTGGGTGGTCCGCCAGGAAGTTGGTCACATCATACGCTTTTGAATCCAGCACTATCCAGCAATCCTTCTTGCTGCTGTGCTTTGCTACTTCAGCTCCATTGATCCGCGACATTGTTCAGATATCTGCGATGCCCAGTATCGGTGGAGATACCGTCTTATGGCTCGGCCAACCGTGGGCCAGGCAATTGAGATTGAGGGGAAGTCGCCGAATCGGGTATACCGCGCCCCAAGATCCGGAAACAAGACCGGCAGCGCGCGCGGGTCAGCTGCGGCCGAACGCCGCCCAACAGCGAACTCATTTCACATCGCAAATTCGTTTCTTCAACAAACGTGCACTTAGGAAAATCTTTTGGATCAAAGCTATACTCATAGCACAACTCGTCATGTATGTAATATTCTTGCTGCCCCAACACACCCCCAGCCTAAATGATCTGTGCGGGACTTGTCGCAGGCTTGTCGTTAGCGACATTTGGATCATCCGAGACTGTTTTGCTAATATGCGAGCGCTCTTTCGTGTCTACCATCCATTCCACTGTCTTGTTGATGCCGTGACCTTCGCCTGTGATGTGCTGCTCATCGCTTCTTGCGTCGTCATCCTGCCCCCTCTTCTTTGGCCAACCGCTCTTCATCTCGAACTGTTCATGGTGAACGCTCACCATATCCAGATCATCATATCCACTTTTCGTCCCGTGATGTGACCTCGCTCGCCTAGCAGCAACATTCGAGTGGTTCCCATAGGCGTCGTATGAGTTCTTGTTCGCGATCGAGCGCTCAAATGAAGGACGGAGCCAGGGTATGAAGCGTGACAGTATGTATTTGATAGTTGGCCCCGAGGTTCCAATGATAGCGACACTAGACTCGATTGCAGAGTAGGACGCTTTGACACTGTAGCTTTTTGTTTTGCCTTTGAAAGCGTCGATGAGCCAAACGAATCGCACGGCGCCGATTGCTATTACGATGAGACCTAGAGAGAGGAACGATACGGTAACAATCTTGCGCTTGAGTGGCATTTGCAAGTCCCAGATTATCCATGTCGGAATTCTGGTGCAATGTCAGCATCGGTTGTTTGGTGCATGCGAGAAAGTCTTACAGAAGAACTAGGACATCAGTGATAAGCACTATCGAGATGTTGGCCAGGATGTAATCTAGAGGATCGTAGCAACCCCCGATTAGGTCGGGTTGCCAGTTCTTCGCTATCGGCCAGCAGGGTATTACAGCCAGTATCGTGAAAGCAACGATGAAAATGGTGTTGATCGCTTGGAGGCCGAGGATGCACCGTTTGATCCAAACATTGTTTGAACGAAGTTTGTAAAGCGTCCATAAGAAGGATGCTTTGACGAAGCCGATACATGGTGAGTACACGACACTCAACGCATACTTAAGCTGTGAACAAGTCCCTCAGTATATGGGTAAGTTGCAGCACACACGTTTTACAAACGTACCTTGAATGCATTAAGGAAGTCGATTGCTGGATACGGAACATCTTCATCGTGGTATCCGGTGTACATCGCGACACAAACTCCATAAGCGTCAGGCATTCGAACATTCCAAGGTCGTCATGTGGACAAGAGTCTTACATTTGTGGGTAATCACGCTATTGGACAATGCTAGAGCCCACGCGATAGCGATCAGAACGTCGTCTGCAAAGATATCAGCATAGACCAGTCACTTTAGCCACGTGCTCATACCTCCGCCAAGGATATGATCTTGCCATTTCCTCCAAAATCGAACCATAAGCACTGCAAGAGCAAGTCCTGGGAAGAGGTATAATAATGCGATGAGCGTAGGTTGAAGTCCTGGATCAACACCAGACATGTCTGGTGCAGGAAAAGCGGGTACTGCCATGATGGGAATCCAGATTGGCGTTCAATTCGAAAATAACTCAGTCGAAGTCACACGAAGAGTGGTACTCGTGAAGTCTTTATATGACCCGCGGACCTGATAGCGTTCAACCTCGAGACCATGTTCGAATAGGATTCAGCCCGCTCAACAGCATGCCGAGGATGTTGCGTTCCTTTCCCAAGATACTGGTAACGCTGCAAACCTGAAAACTATCTGAGTAAACGAGTCTCGCACATAGAAGCGAAGATTTCATCTCCCGTGTTGCGCGCCACGTCCCGTCCCTTGCGAACCAATCATATAGCAAGTGTAAAGTGACAAAACCGTCGTTCGTCCGAAAAGGACACCCAAGGCGATGGAACCGACGTGGAAGCACATGCAAGGCGGCTAGTCCTGATGGAACATACTTTGCGCAGCCGCAGAGCTATGCGACTGGGACACAGCCTCCGAGAATGTGAGTACCTCGAGACTCGGCTTTGAAGACCCTTGCATATTGTGGCTCCAATCGATCCTCCTCACGGGATGGCAAAATCCTCCAATGATCCCTAGGACAGCCTGTAAAGATCTCTATCGGCAACGCCTCCACCACCTTTGTCTAGCCATTCATCCTTGGAGACAGATGTGTAGCGCAGTATGTGAGCATCTCCACAGTTCATAGAGACCCAGGGCCTAGTAGAAGCCATACAAATTGATCAGGGTTCCATTCAAGGTGTTGAGGCATAGCTATAGGATTCGCTCTACACATGCAGAGCCCTGTCTAGTACGATGCTCGGCAGGTGCCCCACTAGCTGCCTGATCCGGAATCTTCTCCAGAAACCGACGCACGGTGCATCCGCTCCAAAGCAGAGGCGGATGCGCGGGACGCCTCCTTAGCGGTCCGTACCTCGATGTAACGGCTGGTAAAGCCTGTTCGAATGTCCATCGCTCAATGGTGTGATCGCCGCGGAGCAACTAACCGCGACTCAGCCAACGTGACATGTTCATGGTCTTGGAAGTCTAGACCCTCTTCGCTCCTTAATAAAAAGCGCATGAGCTGTACGGATGAGGCGTGGGCGCGAGATTGGAATTACCATCCTTCGCGTCTTCGATTTCTCTGGGCGGGTGCACAGGATTAAATCCCATACCAACTTTAGACTCTAGACGAGATGGCCTCGCCGTATCTCACCCCACTTTTTCATGCCGATGCTCAAGTGAGAAGACAGTCCCCGAGTGAGCGGCAAATGGGCTCGACCAAGATTACTGATGCGCCGCCACCTGTGCGTTATGAGGAAATTCGTATAAAACCTTGCGTTCGGTACAGGAACGTGGCAGCCAAGGACTCTTCATCCAGCCGCTACTACCCTCGTTTCAACTGCAAGGTTCCTCTTCCAACATGTTGGCTAGGTCCATAACGTTCTCTTTGGCCTATGCCGGTTTCACGGCGGCACAGAGCGCCACACTCGCATTTTCCGTCCCACCTGCTGCTGAGACTCTCGCTACCTATGTCACGCCTGCCAACCTCGCTCTTTTTGGAGTGGAAGCCGTACAGCTGACTGACGATGTTGTCTCCTCGATGCAACAGAGCGCAGAGCTTGCTGAGTATGCTTCCCTCTTTGAGTTTGAGGACAGCTCCAATTCAAGCTTGTCTACGCGTACTCGCCGTGCGCGACGATCACTCCGATGCAAGACGATGCCTGGCGATCTTCTGTATCCAGGAAAGCTTTTGTGGGGGGTGTTCGACCTCCTACTCGGTGGTGCTTTAGAGAAGATCGTACCTATAGGCTCTTCTTGCTACAAGACGTCCGAGTACAACAACTACGACGCCGCAAAGTGCGCAGACCTCGTCGAGAATTTCGATTCGGAGGAGATTTAGTAAGTGATAATACTTGTGAGCACAATGGCACTTAGACTGACAGGAGTAGCTACAACGACAATGGTGCGCTGATGAATCCCCTGTGGTATGGAATGACATGCCCCATTCCTACTACAGGCAATTTCGCCAATGGCACTTGCACCCAGGGAGGATACTCAGAATACGCAGTGAAAGTTAGCAGCGTTGCGCAGATTCAGCTGGCTGTCAACTTTGCTCGTACCCTGAACCTTCGATTGGTTGTTCGCAACACTGGACATGACTATAACGGTCGCTCGGTTGGCAAGGGGGCGCTCAGCATCTGGACTCATGGCCTCAAGGAGATCAAGTATGTCAAAGGCTACAAAAGCTCCACCTACAACGGACCAGTCTTCAAAGTCGGCGCCGGCGTTCAAGGCTTCGAGCTCTATGAGGCTGCCGATAAGTATGGTGTCTCCGCCATCGCCGGTATCTGTCCGACCGTCGGTGTAACTGGTGGCTACTCCACAGGCGGTGGCCATAGTCCCCTGATGCAGTTGTTTGGTGTCGGCTCAGATCAGATCATCGCTCTCGAAGTTGTCCTTGCCAGCGGCCGGTTCGTTACCGTTACTCCGGAGATCAACGGTGATCTGTATTGGGCTATGCTTGGCGGCGGTGGCGGTACCTACGGCGTGATCACCTCTGCTGTAGTGAAGGTCCACCGCAAGGTTCCAGTCACTCAGTCCTCCTGGACCATCATGACATCCGAGACTGTTACTGCCGAAAAGTTCTGGGAAGCGTTTAGGTTCTTCTTCGACAACATGCCCGCCTACAACCGCGCGAAAACATACTCTTACTTCTCGCTCATGAAGCTCGCACCAGGCACGTATATGTGGTCGATGGGTCCTTTCTTTGCCACGGACAAGACTGTCGAGGAGTACGAGGCTCTCATCAAGCCCTTTTACGAAAAGTGCGCCTCACTTGGTATTGAGCTCAATCCCAAGACAACCTACCACGACAGCTTCTACCCTGCCTACAAGGCCACATTCGGTACATTCAACTATCATATTGGTGCCGCTACCGGTATTGCGTCGAACCGTTTGTTGACATCCGACAATTGGGAGAACGCTGAGATACGCAACCAAACGATGGTCGCCATCCAGCACGTCGTCGAGACCGCCGTCATGATCAACATGTACCATCAGCGCCCCGTCGAACAGGACAACAAGGACATCAACTCCGTCAATCCAGCGTTCCGAAACGAAGAGAGCCAGATGGTCATCATCAATTCGGTCGCTGAGGAAACCGCCGCGGGATGGCAGGCGGCCGTCGAAAAGATCACCACTCAGGTCATGGCTCCTCTTCGTGAAGTGTCGCCCGCTGGCGGCGCCTATGGAAATGAGGCCGACATCGCCGAGCCCAACTGGCAGCAATCTTTCTGGGGCTCAAATTACCCGAGGCTCCAGCAGATCAAAAAGAAGTATGACCCTGACATGCTCTTCTACGTGCACCACGGGGTTGGTACTGAGGGCTGGACCATCGATGATAATGGTATCATCGGCGCTGGTGTCCAATCGACGGACGGTCCATTGTGTCGCGTATAGTCGGGCTCTAGCTCTGCTCGTCGATCCTGTAGATAATGCAATGCGAATGCGATAGCATCAATGGGAGTGACCTTGATGCGACGTTCCAGGCGCTGACTGTGTACGCGTCACCTATGCCGCATGGCGCCTACGACGACGCTCCTCGACTCATCTGATGGTGACCTTCCCGTGTGCCAAGGACTTGATGCGACGAAAGAAAAACGTTGTTTCGAGTTCTCGGCAGTTGTCAGCTGCTTGGGCAGCCGCGGATGATTTCGACAACCGGACTTTGTGGTCAAGAGGGTCCATTATGGCTCTGAGGAGAAGCCGTCGACAAGATTCTATAATTCTCCGTGCTTCACAATGCGATGTGACAAGATAGCGGAAAATGGACCGCGGATTCCGCTCTTTTACGTGTCCGAAGGATTTACCGGTGGGAACTTCTGGGGGGCTGTGCGACACTTATGCTGCAAACGCGGAGTGCGGCCGCGTGCCCGCCCTTTAGCCCTGTCACCTGGTAGACGCTCTTCTAGAAGGTCGAAAGCGGAGGGAAAGTCGATGCGACATGCATAACCATGTCTCGTCGCACGTCCGCACCTATGAGGAGTCGAGACGTGCAGGGAGCCTTGCGGGCGTGTTGCAAGTCATGGTGAGGGCCAGAGTGTCAGGAAAGTGTGTCGGCAGAACATCAGGGCAGGTCTACCCGATTACTCAACCGCGTTCAGTCTGTCACCGCGACAGGCAACGGGACGTAAAACAAACTGAGATCTCGTCCTCCGCCATGGCTTTCTTTCCCACGCCTCCGTCTTGCGATCGTCAGCTGCTTATTGTCCCCATCTGCACCCAAATCTTCGGAAGCCTCAGTATCCGACGCGGAATCCTCAACATTCCCCTCCAGCATGTGCCCCTTCAGTAAGCTTGGCACCTATATCGCTCCGTGATATCGCTAATGACAAAAGCTTCACTGCCCGCTGGCGAAGGTCCAGCTCGCTTCTCTCCAAGCGCTGTCAAAGACTGGCAGCCGAGGCGAAAGTCCGTCTCCAACGCCTGCGAGCGATGCCGACGCAGGAAGATTCGATGCGACGGCGAGACGCCTTGCTCGACGTGTAAACGTTTTGCAATACAATGCGTGAGAACACAAAAACCAAAAGAAGTTGTTGCATCGTGAGTGCCCGCACCCGTTCAGACGCGTCGTCGCGTGGTCACATGATGTCGTGTTCTGATCAAGATGAAGCGAACATCGCGAAGCGCTAGAGGGACGAATACATCAGCTCGAGGC